CCTGAAGGCCCTCGACACCAGTCCAGTCTGAGCCTGAAGCCAACATCTCCCTATAGGGTCTAGGGTTTAGGGTTGAGGGTTTTTAGGATTTAGGGTTTAGGGTTGAGGGTTTCTAGGATTTAGGGTTTAGGGTTTTTAGGATTTAGGATTTAGGGTTTAGGGTTGAGGGTTTTAGGGCTTAACCTTAAGGCCCCACGGATCCCTTCGAGCGCCTCCATGAGTCGGATGGGGGGCCCTGGGTCATGCGGCCATCCTGGAGGCTGCTGGGCTTTTGAGGGGCTTCTTAGGGCTTTGGGATTTAGGGGTTAGGGGTTTTGGGGTTTAGGGGTTTGGGGGTTAGGGGTTTGGGGGTTAGGGTTTAGGGTTAAGGGTTTAGGGTGGGATTTAAGGGGTTTCTTGCCTAGGGTTCCTTTTAAGAAAGGTGCTATCAGGGTTCCCTTAAAGGTACTACAAGGGTTCCTTGTTTAAGGGGCTTAGGGCTTTGGGATTTAGGGGTTAGGGGTTTTGGGATTTAGGGGTTTGGGGTTTAGGGGTTTAGGGTTTAGGGTTTAGGGTTTAGGGTGGGATTTCAGGGGTTTAGGGCCTAAGGTTCCTTTTAAAGGTACTATAAGGGTTCCTTTAAAGGTACTATAAGGGTTCCTTTAAAGGGTGCTATAGGGGTTCTTAAACAAACAAGGTGTTAGGATTTAGGGGTTCAGGGCTTAAGGGTTACAGTCTAGGGGTTTAGGGGTTAGGGATTTAAGGGGTTTAGGGTTTTGGTTTTTAAGGTTAAGGGTTTAACGGTTTAAGCCCTAACCGGATTATAGTTTAGGGCCTAGGGGTTAGGGATTAAAGGGTTTAGCGATTAAAGCTTTTTTAAAGGCTAGGGTTCAGGATTTAGGGTGTAGGGCTTCAGGCTTTGAGGACTAAGGTTCAGAGTTGAGGGGTAGGGTTCAAGGTTGGGGGTTGAGGCTGTAGAGGTTGAAGGGTTAAGGGTTCGGGGGTTTAGGGGTTGAGGGTTTAAGGTTTAGGGGTTAGAGCCAGCGCAAACGGTCCGGAAGAAGATGAGGGACACATGTAAACTCAACAACCACCAAAGTCACAGCCAACAACGCTAGCAAGAGCAACTGGCAATCCTTGCAGCAAGGGTGACAAAACCCTGAACCCTAAACCCCTAAACCCTAAACCCCTAAATCCCTAGATCCTAAACGCTACACCCTAAACCAGTTAACCCTAAACCCTAAACCCCTAAATCCTAACCCCTAAACCCCTAAACCCCTAAATCCTAAACCCTAAAACCCCTAAACCCCTAAATCCTAAACCCTGAACCCCCCAAAAATCCTAAACCCTAAACCCTTAAACCTCTAGACCCTCAACCTCCAGCCTTGAACCCTACCTACCCGAAACCCCAAAGCCACCGAAGGCTTCGCTTCGACCGAGGCCCCGCCCGAATCCAACGTCTCTCTAGGCTCGGGGGGCTTCCTGTAAGGGTTTAGGGTTTAGGGTTTAGGGTTTAGGGTTTAGGGTTTAGGGTTTAAGGCTTAGGGTTTAGGAGGGTCCGTCCCTTTAAGGGTTTAAGGTTTGGGGTTGAGGGTTGAGGGTTTAGGATTGCGGGTTTAGGGCTTAGGGCTGAGAAGGCCTAGATTCAGGCATTTGATCCTGGTTTATGCATGTCATGTATGTACGTATGTACGTAGAATCCTACGCGCTCGACCCTAAACCCTACTCTACGTATCTATCGATGTACGCCATATATCGATATCTGTTTATACATATGTACATATATATATATAGAGGGGTTTAGGGTTTAGAGTTTAGGGTTTGGGGTTTAGGGTTTAGGGATATATGTATGAATATATGTATGTACGTGGAACCACGAGCTTCGGAGCGCCTGCGGAAATCTCTCTCTCTCCCCCCCCGTTCGCGGAGGCAACGGGGAGGAAACCGAAGGAGCTTGAGCCCACTGAGCATAAGCGTTGAGGGTGCTAGGGTTTAGGGGTTAGGGTTTGGGGTTTAGGGTTTAGGGTTTAGTGTTAGCATTTTAGGGTTTAGTCTCGTCCTTTTTTGTCACAAGGAACCCTCAGAAGTCGGGATTCTTGGGGCCCTCGGGAGGGGAGTTTGGTGCTCAGTTTTTCGGCTCACGCTGCAAGATCGGCTTTAACAAGCTTCTCATGCGCTACCTTGCTCGGGTCATGAGAAAGATCAGCATGTTTACGAAGCCCGAAGCAGACATCTCGGATCTAATCGCTTCCCTTGCCAGCAAACGAGCAAACCCCATCTCAAGCTAGAATTTGAATGGCCATTTCTTTCAGCCAGACCAAAGAGGTTGGGATTGTGCTTTCGGGAATGGAGTTTGGGTCTTTAAGGCTTGCGGCTGCTATATCTTGTTGAACTAACTTCTCGATTCTGGTGGGTTAGCTTGCCATAGTCATGGGAGATATCTTCTAGCACTTCGGATTGGTGGGCTCTGCACGTGCATGCATGGAATTAGAATAGGGTAGTGGTGTGGAGTGTGATGTACGCATTCATACATACATACATACATACATACATACATACATACATATTTATTTATGTATATTGTCCATTTATACATATACGAGCAAAAACAATTTTTTATCTTTATATACACACCGTGATATACATGTAGATGTACAGTTTGAATAGAGTTTGGGTGTACATATTGCAAGCAGATTCTAGCACTAGCTACAGTACTCAGGCACCTACACTACCTCGAAGACCGAAGAAGCCGATCTCGCATCTCTTTCCCAAGCCAGCGATCGAGCAGCTCCATCTCAAGCTGCGCGGTTTTTTTGAAATGCCATCACAGTGAGCCGAGCCAACCGCCCTAAAGCTTCCCCGGAAAAGCTGGCCTTCATGGCAACAGCTCTGACGGTTGGTGGCGCCGGTGCCACCGGCACCCGGGGTCAGGAGTGTCTGCAGCCTAAACTCTGTCTTGATCTCGTGCGACTTAGGGCTTTAGGGATTTAGGGTTTAGGGTTTAGGGTTTAGGGTCTGATTGCTGGTGAGAAATCGTTTCTGCCCAAGTGGAGGGAGGAATCCTCGTCGCGGCATACAGACAGCACGACGCTGGATGATCTTCCTGTCAGGAAGTGGCCGTTGAGAAGGACCGACATCCGGCTAGGTCGTCATGAGACCCCCGACTTTGCCAACAGCAATGCCTCAAGCCGAAACATGAGGCAAGGCGAAGTTTCATGGGCACGCGATGGCCGACAGCCAGGCAACTGCATAATCACGACGACGGCACTGCGGGGCCATGTCACAAAGCAATCTTGCAGAAAAAAACGCTGAGAGAGTCGATGATGCCTAGGACCTAGGACGCTCCGACACCCGTCACTGCCGTCTTTTGCACTGATTGCAGTACCCTAAACTAAACCCTAAACCCTAAACCCATGGTGCTTTGCTTGCGGTATCTTGTGTCGACGCGAGAGGAGCTCGTGGTCGCTGTTCAGAATGCCCATGGACCTCATTCCGCCAGAGCTCAGAAAAGTCTCGTGGTCACCGGAGGGTGCGAGGCCCTAAGACAACGCCCGCAGGTCGGCTATTTTTCTTCATGAAAATGCCAATTTTGGACACAAAACGCGCCTGAACTGCTCAGGAATGTCCCGCTCGATCTGCGAACACGGGCCACGGCAACTGCCACAAAAGCAACAGGGCATGGATTCCCCAAGCCTATCCGAGGGGCCAGGGATTCAGAGAGGGCCGACTCTAAGCGAGCCAAGCCGTCGTCGCGTCGATGGTGTTTTTCGACCCTGCAACTTCGGAGCGAAAAACGACAGCACTCCAAGCCATGAACCCTGTCCTCGATGCAATGTGCTTCACAGAGTTGATGCTCCACCTCAACCCTGAACCCTGAACCCTAAACCCCTAAACCCTAAACCCAGAAGCTAAGGTTACCTCATACGGCAGTCCTGCCTTTGCAAAGCACTTCTTCCTAAACCCTTTCCTCTCCAAAGTTGAGGCTCCAAAGCAGAGGACCTACGCAGCTTCTTCAAGGAGAGATAGGGTTTAGGGTTTAGGGTGCGTGAGGCAAAGCGTTTCTGTATTATTGCCATGGGAAAGATGAGACCACCCTTCTTTCTTACCTAGACGACCTGCTCTGGGTTCCACAATCGGCTGACGGGCTCTTGAGGATCCTGGGATCCATCCTGCTGCTGTCGGTGCTGGGGGTGCCTTTTGCCTGGCATAAGTTTGCAGGAGGAGGTGAGCACACGTGGATTGGATATTCCCTCTGCGTGGCTCGGCGTAGCGTGGGCATTTCACTGAGCAGAGCTGATTGGATCGTGGGCTGGTTCGGGTGGCGGAGACCTCAGGTCGGTTCTGGGCAGACTTTCTTTTGCTTTTTTCGGCTATACCTCTTCTTAAACCCTTCCTGGGGCCCATGTATGCATGGGTGGCTGCTGTCCAAGCCTGTCATACGTTGCGCTTGCCCAAAGCTATTTCTTTGGTCTTGCTTTTCCTGCAGAGGGCGCTGGAGCAAGGACTGAGAAGAGTCGAAGTTCCTCGTTTTTCTTGTCCACCGAAGGAACATTTCAGAACCGATGCCAAGGCTCAGGGCTCAGAGCTTTGGGTGGGAGGCTGGCGCTGCGCAGATGATGCTGATCCTCATCGCTGCAGGTGGCTCTCTGAAAGAATCGATCATGTGAAGTTTCCTGTTTTCTTCATGGCTGGTCAGTCCTACCGCTCTATAGGGGCCCTGGAGCTTCTGGCCACACTGATTGCTCTTTTTCTTATTTGGGATCAATCACTGCTCTGCTGCGACCGATAATCGTGGGAATGCTTTCGTCACCTCTCGCTGGATGACGACTTCTTTTCCACTCAATGCGGTGTTGATGGAGGTAGCGGCCTTTCTGCTGCAAAGGTCTCTGCATCTCGAGCTTCACTGGGCACCAAGGCTCCAGAACGCTTTGGCGGACAGCAGTACGATGCCTTTGATCCCAAGCTGCGTTTGAGATTCGATTTCAGCAGATACCGCTCCATCATTCTGAAGGATCTCATGGATGCTGGGGTATCGCTTTACGGCGATATCAAGGAGTACAAAGAGAAGTGGCAAGGCACAAGAGCAGCGAAGTTGCGGAAGGGAGGGCGCTTACGTGATCTTGATCCGTGGGCATCGCCTCGCTCCCGAAAAAGCGGTGCTAGGGGATCAGCCTAAAAACCCCTAAACCTAACGAGGACGAGACTCGGAAGGTTTTAGGGTCCTTCAGGTCATCGAACAGCTACGCGCGGGCCGGAGGCCAAGGACCCGGAAGCCCCAGACGCCTTGAAACTTTGGACCTTGAAGCCGAGGTTCTGAAGGCAAGAAACCCGAACCCTCCTTACAAGTTTAGGGGTTTAGGGTTTAGGGGTTTAGGGGTTTAGGGTTTAGGGTTTAGGGAGGTTACAAGGGCCCTAACTGGAAGGTCCTTGGAAGCATAGGGTAATCCCTAAGCCGCACGACGCCCGAGAACGGGTCCGGCGGCTTTCAAGAAGGCAGCTCCTTGCGCGGAGAAAGACGAGCCCAGCGCAGGCGTGCGTGGGACGGCGGGACGGTGCGGTCAGGGTTGGGGTTGATAATCGCATTTTGGGGCCCCGGGCTTGCAAGAAAGTTCGGGATGTCTAAACAAATTCACCACGCCTCGATCGTACAGAAGCTTCTCGTTGAACCAGCGGCTCATGGACTCATGGGCCTTTGCAGCAGGGTCGAGGGGCCAGGACTGTGCGACAAAGACAGAAATCTCGAGGCGAGAGTTTTCGGGAAGCTTGAGACAGAGAGACTTGAGGTGGGGGCAGAGAGGAAGTCCCGACACGTTGTGGACAGCCGCTGGGCCCGAGGGCACAGGAGGAACAACGACTGAGCTTGTCGACTCAGTTTCCTGATGCCTCCCCGTCTCTGGGAGGAGAAGGGTTGTGTGCCTTTTGGCTTCAAAAAGCTTGCAGTGGCGTGAGTCACAAGCTTCAGTGCGAGACTTCTGTAAGCACCCTCCCTTGCACGCGATGAACACCCAGCCTCTGTTTTCACAAGGCCCGTGGGGCGAAGTGCACCATGACTAGCTCATGGATTCGGAGATGCTTGGACCCAAAGCTCATGGGGCTTTGCCATGCCTTATGTAAGCCAGCGCCGTAAGACTTTTGCAAGGCACCCCTCCCGACCTCGAGTCACAGCAGCCACAATCAATCCTGAAGAGATCCTCCAAGTGCGCCGTCGCAACTCGAGCGGAGGCAGAGTCATGAGACCTGAGTAGAGACCCCCGGCAAGCTAGTTCAGCCCGGCCTACAAGCAGAAAGACAGGCACTCTGCTCTCTCTCTGAGCTCAAAGGAACTATAGGGGCGCAGCACTATGCAAGGCTACAACTTGAGCCTGACTTCACATTTGCGCTGCAATTCCGTCATCGCCTACGTGTCCATACCAGGGATTGCAGTGGCCTAGGCGACCACCTCAGCTTTGACGCTGGCTCCGCCGTTGCGGAGTCGCTGCCAAGCACGGCTGCAGCGCTTCAGAGCCCTGCTGGAGCTCGCCGGTCAGAAGACCCTTGGTGGAGTTGGGCGCTCAGAGCGCCGGGAGTACCCTAGGGCCCTAAGCCCTGAGCCCTAAAGCAACCGTAAACCCCTGAAGCCGAAACGCAAGACAGGTACATTTTCGGTGACCCGGGAAGTGCGGCAGGTAGGTATGCAAGGCTACCCCTGCCAGGCTTACGATGGAGTTTCCCACGAGACCTCAACGCCGAAGCCCTAATCTAGACCCTGAAACCTTCCAGGACCCTTCAAGTACCCTCAAATAGGGGGTATATGGTCCCAAATTCAGGGTATTTAGGGTCTTTCGAGGGTAGATGGAGGGTCTAGGTTGTAACCCTGTGACAGTGCCCACCAGGACATCCCGAAGATCCAACCCTTGGAGGATTGACTCCAATCCCCAGCTGGACTATGGTGGCGCGACATCTACCAACGTATCGCCTCTATCTCACCCGTGAGTTAAAATGCGCAGGCTCGGACCCCAAAAAGGCTTTCCAGTCCACCAAAGCCGACTGCGAAATTTTCCATGCCAGACTCCGTGAGCAGGGAATCATGCTGAATGGAGAATTGAGCTCGATAAATCCGCTTCACCACCTGGCATCCGGATGAGGAGCCTCGAGACCTGAAAAATGGTGGATGAGGGGACAAGAACTCAGTTTTCACCGCGGCTTTGCCTCTGAGGGAAGGCATCGCGAAGCTCTGGCTTCGATGGCGATGGGCTTAGGAGCACCAGAGCCCGGCGTGGCCGAGACTTTTGTGTCAAAACTTTCCGCTTTTTACTGCTGAGTTGCGACAACGTGGCAAGGAGCCAGTAGAACCCTGTGCACAGCACGGTGCGTCTCCAGATTCATTGGAATGTTGGTTGGGGTGAGGAAAAGTTGCACTCTGGGTCACTCTGCTTGCATTCTGCGAAACACAGGCCTACCGTGCAGCTCCTAGCCGTGAGACTGCCAGCCTGTCGATCCAGACTGGATCCTGATGCGGTTACGATGGAGGGGCCCTCCGTTTCACGTGTGCAGTGGCTGCATCGGGCGCGGCTGCGAATTACGTGATTGCACGCGGCTCTGTATGCACATTTACTCGGAGTGGTCCGCATTTTATCCCTGCGCTTCTCCGAAGCAGACCCCTGGAGAGCACCAGTTCTCTCAGAGTCAGGCTGCACCGCCAGTGACTTCAGAAAAACCGGTTGGTCTTTCGTGACGTAGTTAGTCAGCTCATGTGTCGACTAGAGCCAGCAAGCCATGACTTCCGTGCTTGACTTAGATGTGCAGGTCCTGCACGCCAAATCCGCTGTTGCCCTGGCCTGGCTGTTGTGGCCGTTCTGAAGCACAACCCCGATGCTGGCTGACAATATCTGAACTGAGACCTGGAGCAGGGGCAGTGAAAGGTGCTTGATTCTTTCAAGTTGACACTGGGTCGATGCAAAGGCGATCAACATGATCAGCTTGCAAGCAATCGTTTAGGGTTTAGGGTGTAAGTCCTCTCTCCCGGGCAGCTCTTGCCGTGCACAGCATCCTCGGCGACTGTTTTAGCTGACGAGGCGCGGTGGGTCGAGCAGCGGCCGCCTGAAGGTGCAGCACGAGCACGCTGGCCCTAAATCCACGGACACAAGGCACATCCGAGGGGATGTGGCTTGGCCTTCTTTTCAGAGCCCTTGCCACACAAGTCTTCATCGAGACAAGCCCATGCGGACTCCTGCACGTTATCATCAAAGATAGCTTCACTCTGGCTCGGTACTCTCGTCGTGTCAAGTGCCTCCCGGGATGAAGGACATAAGGGACTCTCATGAAGGGGGAGGAAAGGGGAAAAGGTCGGCATTGCCCAGGCAAGACTCCAGCCATGCACTTCTGCTCACCGGCACATCAGGCTGCTGTGATCAGCACAAGGCCTGACACACGCAAGCTTCGCACCCTCGTCCCAAAACCAGTTTCTCCAGATCCTGCAGCTGGAGCTGTGGGATGCAAAGGCTTGCCAGGGATCTGCAAACGGTACCGGGACGGACATCGACAAGGAAGACGGCTGATTCTACATTTGGCTGCAGGTGCATCACGATGGATTCTGGACGGCGGTCAGCGGTGATGCTTAAGTAGCCCGTATGCGGAGGCGGGGTGCACCGCCCCTTCCTTCACACCAAAGCACTTCAGAGGATGGGAAGAGCACAATAAGACAGACGACGTCATCTTACAACAAGCCCTGATAGAACCAGCCCTCTTGGAAACCTGGGTCCCAGGCCAGGCTGAGTGATGGGCTCCACCTGGCCTTCTTCTCCATGATGCCCTACTTCGTGGTCGGAAGCGCTCCAGTCCCCAGATGGTTGCGTGCACTTGATGCACTTAGGCGCTGCCAGTCGCAGGATGCCACGGATGGGTGTATTGACTGGTGCAGCAATGCCCATAGATATTTAAGACTCATGCAATCTCATCGCATCCACACAGAATTTCCGTGGTGGTGCCAAAGCCGGAGACAAGGATGGCTTGATCAGGTCGTTCACTTAGTGGCCTTCACTGCTCATACAGTGCTCCGGAACGAGGATCTCATGATGCATCCCTTTGATGTCCATGCCGGGACCTGTCTGCTCGCCCCTTCTAGACTGGACACCAAAGACTGGACGCAAGGTTCGAGCTCAATGCCCTTCTTCTCTTTCAGGGATGCACAGAATGCACTGCAGCCGGCCGAAGGCCACATGCATGTTTCGAGCGGCAGTCGCGCAGCAGTACTCGTGGACACCGGCGACTCATGCGCATCCACGAGGAGCTGCCGCACGCCAGGGCTATCAGAGCTTGATCGACGAGCGCGCCCAGCATTGTTTGCTGCTCATGCCGTGATCCGGGACGAGGCACCCTGTTATGCATGCTCCCGATGCACACACAGCTGCGGCACACGTTGAGGTATATGTCTCTTTGCATCCTTAGCCAGGTTCCATCATGACGTAGCCCTTCCACTGCAACGGCCCTGGGAAGAAAAAACGAGAAGGAGCTAGCTCTCGGGAAAGCTTCCGTGGCCGTGTGGACTCAGGGCACAGCAGTTCGAGCCAGCCTCCGCCCCAAAATCGACTCAGAGTTCTTTGGCCTTCGAACGTCCCACGGAGACCGAAGCACCCGGGACGCCGAACGGGAACAGATCGGGAAGGCAAGCCCTAAGCCAACAAACCCGACACCCTCCGCCCCAAGCTCTTTCTTCACCACAGACATCGAAAGACGCCCTGTTCTAAAACTCTTCCGCCTTTCCTCTCCGGCTTTCTGCCTCCCCAAACCCGGCCCCAGGGACTGAATCTGAAGGCCTTTAGGGTACGACGGGTCACAGTAGGTTTAGGAGGCTCTGCTTACTGCCTTTTGGGGATTTTCGGGGAGAAGGCGCCGAAGTACGGACGAAGAATTTTTTGGTCGAAGCTCGGAGATCTCCAGAGCCCTCAAAGGCGCCTTGAGCCGCCATCCTGTCCTGCCATGACGGAGCTACCCCCGGTTTGGGGTCTAGGGTTTAGGGTTTAGGAACCTGCCGCAAATCCATGGTCTGCAGCTCTTCCGCAAAGTCTTTGCAGATGCTGCCCAGCGTGAACTGCTTTGGTTCTTGGGTTTGGGGGTCGTGCTTTTCTCGCAGATCGCAGCCCCACGACCCGACTCCATGCTAGGGCAACACCGGAAGACAACGACCCAAAGCCATCCAAGCGGAGCAGCAGACCTTCTTGCTCTCGATCGCATGGCGGCAGCCCACTGCCAATGCGTCACTCGTAGCTGCAGCTTCTCAACACGAAGCCCTTTGCAAGCACCAGGCCTTGGGTTTTGGGCCTTTGGGCTTTTTTACTGGGTTTTAGGCGTGAAAGCAGCCGCACCTTGGGCGATGGCAAGATAAGGAATCCTCCTAAACCCCTAGACCCTTATGGTACCCTTTTTAGAGCCCTTTTAAAAGAAATTTTAGAGTCCCCTTTTAAGGAACCTGCTTGGCGGTCCTTGAGCGGAAGATCTGTGGCTCTGCGACGCTCTACCCAGATTCCTAAGTCTACCTGGATCCGCAGCAGGCCCATAGGCTCCTAAGTACCGCGTATAGCCCAAAACTCTGCAAGGACTTCTGTCAAAAAGCCATGAGCCCACGCAGCCGGACGGGAACATGGCAACACTCCGCCCAGAAGGAATCTTCAAGGATACGTCTGCATTCTCCGCGTCACAACAGATCAACCGTACTCTGCAAAGCCTTGTTTCTACCACGCACAGCCTCGTGCTTCAAATCGATCCGCTGTCAAAGAAGCATGCCGAAGACTCTCTGGTTCTTAGTAGGGAATGGGGGAATGGATCCCTATGATAGTCGCTTAAGGTCCCCGATAGTAGTCCCAATAACCCATTCCCCCATTTCCTACTAAGAACCAGGGAGAAGAGCAGCTAGTCTCCACCGCACCCTGATCCGACAAAGCAAGCTCCCTGCGAGCGCTGCAGTGGCCGCCCGGGCTGCTGCCGGAAGATTTTTCTGACAATCGAAGAAAACTGCTCACTCTCAGATTAGACATCAGGGATATTTAGTGAACCTCAGATTGTAGGGGATCTTGCTTTAAATCCCGAAAGCATGGCCAGGGAAATTGGACCCAACGTGCCAGTCGATGATGTTCGATGACTGCCTTCAGGCAAACACAAGCCACGATCAGCCACCTTTGTTGTCCTCTTGCTACGGTGCCCGGCGATCCCTTACCCCACAGTCTGAGTTTGAGACATCAGACGCCCCTTTTGAGCCACGCGGAAGACAAACTTCGTAACGCGACAAAAGGCAATGAGATTGGAAGACGGACAACAGCGAGGTTCAGGCGATTGCCGGCGCTCGGGGGTAGTCAGGGGCTTTCGCATCACGGCGCTCGGTGCGGACACTGATACCAGGTTATCCCCATCATTAGATAGCCAGCAGCAGCCAAAATGCCCATGACCTGCTTTCGCAGCAGCTGCTGACACAAGCTGGATCATGTGGACACTGTTGTCGCACGACCTGCCGAAAGTGGGATCGGAAATCTTCACTGTGCGAGAACCGAGAAGGCTGTGGAAGCGCACGAAAGAAAAGGGTGC